CGGGCAGGCCCCCCTCGACCGCTACCGTATTCGTATCTCGCCGTCTTTTAAATCTTCACCCACCACGCAGAAATTAAACCCCTCTCACAGCGTGCCGTTACCTGGCCAGGGTCGCGATACAGCAAAGCAGGCCGAGGAGATCGCACAGGGCCCCGCCCTTTGCGATTTTTTCCGTCCACTTTCTGCGAGCTGCTGTGACTGCAATTCACTACGAAGCAGAGATGGGCTTCGTCTCTTTCGTATTCGCTCCTGTTTTCCCGTTTGCCAGAGCCCTCAAAGGGCTAAAAATCGACATAAACTAACGGCACTGTTTGTTTTCTAATGTCACCACTTGAATTCAGGGTATCAGTTTCCTGAGCAGAACCAGTACAAACTGAAAGCCAGCCCAAGACATGCGTTTCTTACAACCAGCCCTCTTTCCATTGATAAATCTACACAGCTTTGGGATCCCAGAGGGTCTGAAGTCTTATCTTTAGCAAGTGTGTCGCCTTTTCATTTTCTCTGTCCCTAGCTTATGCTTTTGTGTGACATACAGCTCCATACCGGTCATGCTATAAGCGTGCCAGTTACACGTCCAATGTGTAACAATTTCCATTCTTCTACAGTAATTTTTGAAGTGCCTTTTGTTCATTAACTCGTTGCTCAGGCTGAGAACCTCATTAAACCCACGAACCTGCCGCAGTGTCAAGCATGCAACAATGTCACAATGGCACCAGGCAGCAGGGTTTAGCCCAATTTGCACTCTTACATCCAGCTTTTTATCTGCATCTCTTTTATATTCAGTGGTGCAGCTGCAGAAGCTGAGAGCCATGTTCTAGACACAGTACGATACAGACACAGCAGCAGTAGACAACATTGCCTAACCCCATTTACACCTTTATACTCAATTTGTATTCTGAATCTTTCAAAGTTACCTTCAGACTGCTTACATCAGGGTAATTTTTGCAACCTCTTACAAGGTCGCAAAGGATTGTGGTAACTCTTTAAATACACAGATACACACATACATGTTTTAAGGTAGGTTATTTTGCTATCTCCCTTCGTGGTCTTGGAAAAAACACCTGTGAATTCTGCCAACTCTGCATTCACTGAGAATCTAGCAAAAACATCTAGTATATCTTCTGCATTAACATTCACAGAGCCTGTAGCATTATGAGTGTTGGCATCTCTACTGTGGATTTTGTGTACCTGTAGTAGATCAAAGGTACTAGGAATCATTTGCTTTTGAACACTGTGAACCAGAATACCTTGTTTCTTAATCCCATCTTATTTATCAGTTGTTGAAGTGCTTACTGAATAGAACATAAAAAAAATTAGTTTTATAGGTGGAGAAACAGATGCATAGAGAGGTATGTTAATTTTCAGAGTAAGGACTAGAAATTAGTCCTTTCCACCACACAGCTTAGCTCAGTACAGAGAAATCAAGCATAACCCCTTGACCTATGCACCCACCCATGTCCACTCCCAAGAACAAAACATATCTCCATCAAGAACCTGAAGTTCCTATTTTGAGTCTGCTGCTATAGTTAAATGAGCATATTTGTCAGTGAACTGAATAGAGCAGGAAGAGGAATTTTAGGTAGGAGGCCCTCCACTGCCTCCATACTCAAGACAGATGGAGAGAAAGACTCCTTTCAAAAGGCACTTTAGAGAAGATGAATAGCCTAGTTGTTCCAAGCTGTTGTCTGGATGGGTTCCTTTCTCCAAGGGTAAGGGAAAGAACTTAAGAACCTACAGCTGGATGGCATTAATAGCAAGTGAGCATACGCTCTCGCTTAAATTATTGAGCTGCTTTTGCCCAGTCCATAACACGTATTAGGCACGGAATGTAAGTACCAGCTCTAGAATCATTTACATGTACGTTTGTAAGACACCAAAGTGTTGCTGAGTAATGCTAGACGAGAGCTCAGCTGTAGACTGAAGTCACTCTCAGGAAGTGAGAGCATACATGACTTTTGCTGGTGTAATTCAATATATTACCACTTACCATTTTATTTAGTATGATGAAACCCAAAATATATCAATATACTGATATGCTGAATTATATTAATATTCAATCACATAGTAAAAATAAGTTTTTAACATCTTATTTGCTACTCTGAACATGTATTGATCTAAGTTTATATTCTCTAAAAGCTTCTGTCCCCAACCATCCATTTTATACTAGACCTCAAGAAATCTAGCATTATGCTTATCTGTCTCATTTTCCCCTCTCCCAGATGACCTTTCATTTAGATGAATATTCAGTCCCACAAGCAGCTTATAACAAGTCAGTTTTAAGTGGACAACTAATCAGAAGTACAGTTCAATAGATGCTTATACCTTTAATACTTCAACAACTGCTGCTTTCATAAAACTTTAGTTCATGGTTCTTTTAAAAGACAGTCAAATCTAAAGCTAAAGATACACTTTTAAATGCTAAAATTCAAGCTGTATGAAACACGCAGTATAGATGAGGTTAAGTTGAGGTGTTTACTCTCTGAAAAAGTACAGACACTGATGTAGGTAAGAATGTTCTTATTTTAAATTGGACATGAGTTTTCTTGTTAAAAGCAACTACTGCCAGTGCCAAGAAGTATCTCTCTATGTGATATTTCAGCTGCCCATTGTAGTGTGGTTTTAAAAAAAAATTTACTTTTACATACATTTGGTACTGACCTCTGATAACAGTGTATACAACTAGAACCATCAACTTCCAAAGAGTCTTAAGGCTTTTAACTGTGTTCAGCTTTGTCAGAGTGACACAGCCCGAGTCCAATAATTTATGTACCTGGCACTTCAGCCGTATTAATCTTGTCCTCTAGCTAGAGAAAGGAAGAAAATGCTGTTGTTCATTCTCAGGCAAGTTTGACTTGAAAAATGTTAAGGAGCTTTTCATTCGAACAATGATTTCCAACATTCTAGTCCAAATCAAACTGGATGTATCCTCTGTGCCCAGTGACATGCTTAAGTCAGCACTATCAAAGAAAAAATCACTAAAAAAGAGAAAGTACTTTCAGCTAGGTTAGTTCTTGGCTCCCATCTAACAGGCAAGACACCTGCCAGCACAGCTCAGAGCAAAAATGGTATCGGTTGCATGGTCAGCTTAAAGACATGTCAAACTCACTCAAAAGTCCACAGCACCAAATTTTACCCAAACGTTATTTTTATGTTCCTCTCCCCTTCCCCCAAAGCTTCAAATGTATATAGGCAAGATTGCAAGAGATGAGTATTTAAAATGCAGAAACTATCTTGGATGCAATCTTTCAACATCAGAAAGCTTCAGGAATTTTCTAAAGCAGAAGTCTTGAAGTGCAGCTAATTATGCTGAAATCCAGTAACTCCATTCTGCAAGTCTGTGCAGGACAGCATGCTCTAGAGAAGCAGTCTCTTGACTTGAGAAAACAGTTGTCTTCAGCTGATGGCAACCTCAGATAAAGATTGTAACAACATATCCTATTAAATAACTGCAATTTGCTGCTTCATTTGAGGAAGGAGTCTTGTTCCTGTAGTATAACTCATCCTTCTCCCAAGCTGTAGGCAGCTTATGGATGCAGGTGGTCTTATCAGACATGAGACGCATCAAGACAGCTTTAGATTATTGTCATTCTAGATTATAACTACTGACCACCACACAACTCCCTCTCTTCTACATTTTTTTTTTTTGTTAAAGCAGCATAAGAGGACCCAGTTGGATTGGAAAGGAAAGCATGAAAGGGTACCCTAGCAAGTTGTGACACCATGACACATAGGAGAGAGAAAGCAGTGAGAGTTAGGTAACAACCCAATACCTACACTTAAGCTCTCTTCCCTGTTTAAGCTAAGTCTGTAAATGTCAAAGGCATCTTTGGACAAAGTAAAAACAACTTAAAAATAGAAAAATCAAAGAAGCAAACTCAAATGAGTTCATCTATAGTTCATAACCTGAGTGGAGATAAGAGAACTCTGAAGAATCTAATTAGAGATTCAACTACTAAGTTAAAAAGAAGCGAGTAGAATAAAAATGTCAATTCATTTGATGAAACACCTGTTGAAGCCTTACTGCAAATATCCTACTAATTCTTCGCCAAGAATCATGTGGCATTTTAGGATGTTATTATGATTACATATCAAAATTATACATAAAAATATGAGCATCCAGCTTCTCATCCAGTCAAAAAGAGGGCTTTTAATACATGAGTTTCAAGCTTACAACTCCCATGTAGCTACAGAGTAACCGTGCTCCTCCTCCTAGAAAACAACTTTTCACATCCCCAATATGGAGTGCTAATATATCCTCATCATAAAAGGAATTAATAAAAAATAAACTTGTTAATAATTCATTTCAAATTCAAATAAGTTCCAGCACTTCAATAGAATATGTCTGAGAGTCTTTCTGGTGGTTAAGTCTTTGTAATTCTCGCAAACTTCCTTCAATCTTGTTAAGTTCAGAGTAGAATCGTACCTAAAACCAAGAAAACACAGATGTTTACAGTAAATTTTAATTCTTTTAATACGTCATTATACTGTGCAACTAGCTGTGGTTCTGCACAGTTTCAGATACTTAAGCCAAACAAATATAGCAGCTTTTGAAATCAAGTCAAGAAAAGAGAGGCAACTGCCATTTCATGCTCAGGAAGGAACACAGAGAAGAGAACAGACGTTATTTGATGTACCATATAATCTTTTGTTATCTGCCCCACCCCACCCCTTCTGACACCCATATTTCTAAATCCATACTGAAATGAAATAATTATCCCAGAAGACACAACTTACTTGGGCTCTCACAAACTTGTGAAGGTTTGAAAGCAACTCTTTTGCTTCCGGCAGCATCACCATAACTGTGAAGTGAGCATCAAGCAATAGGCACATCCAATCCATAATCTGAAGACAAACAAGAAAAACACACTTACACTTTATGATACACAAATGACATTTTGCTTTAGAAGCTGAACTCTGGAACATTAACTCCTAATGCAAAACGCATGGTTTCAGATTTTCAGGCAGTATATTTATTTTCCAACAGTAAAAAGTGTTATGTCTGACAAACCAATGTAGATCTCAGCTGATTTTAGATAGTCACAACTACTCACTAAGTTACACACCACAGAAACCAAAGGAAGTACAACTCTTAGAACTAGCTTCTCACCTGGTTTACAGTTGGAGAGTGTATTCCGGGAAGAGTGGTATTAATTTTTTCACTGCATTTCACATACAGGTAGTATAAGTACCTAAGAAACAGCTAAAAGTAGAAAAGTCAGAATATTTTTCAAGGACAAACATTTAACAGACCAAGGAGTTTTGTCCTGCACACAGTGACACTCATAAGGATATTTTTTTAAATTTATTTTTTAAAGCAACACAGATGTCTGTACCCTATGTATTAAAAATAAGTTTTATGGTTCTCCTACACCTTCTGTAGCTGGATGCTTGAAAATTCTCACTCAGCAATATCCAGTGTAAAGTCACATTCAACGGTAATCACTGTTCCAGGGACTGGGTCAGTACGATTTAATTCGGACATAGACTTTTCTAGGAACTTTTAGTCTCAGTTTCACTTTCAGTAGCCAACAATTGCTCATAGCCAGAATGAGGCCAACACCATCTTGTGCTGAGCACATGTCAAAGATTTCTTTCTCTCTCTCAAAAAAAAAAAAGAAATCAAGGAGATGGGTCAGTGCTAACATCAGCTTTGTTCTGTGTGTGGGTTTTTTTTGAATCACTGGAAAACCACATATATTCTCAGGTGCTATGATACGTGCAGTTCTTGAAATTGTATTTTGGGCTTTGAGGGACAGGGGAGGTTTTTTTTTTTAAACTGAGAGGATCTGAGATTGAATACTCAAGTTCGATTTGTTTTAGCATTTTACACAGTGTACAGTTTGTTTCTTGTATTTTATAAAATTCTGTTTCTACTGGAACTGACTAAATTAGCATGTCTTGTTCCTTTCCAGAAAGCATCCAAATCAAGAAAAGGTACTATACTTGCAAACAAAATAGTCATGTTTTTCCATGAGTTTTTCTCACATTTTCTAAAATAAGCAAGGACTACAGAAATTTATAAAAGTTCCATACGTATGTGGAAAAACATGACAGCCAGTAACATTAAATCCTAATAGGCAACTTAATTCCATTTTCATGAATTAGTTTGTGATTCAGACTCCAGTAAGAGTGACAAGTTTCCGATACACAATTGAAAAACCCTCTTCCCTTTCTCTCTCCCTAAAATAATAAGGGTTTTTAAACTTTTTAATGCTAACATACTTACAACAGCTTGTTGAGCTGGAAGGTTTTTCAGGTGAGCCAAAAGAAACGTTTCGCTGTAAGCTGAATGAAGAACAGCATTTCTGTGCAGTACCATTAAGGAAATAAAATTGCAGGAAAAGATAGCAGTTTCTACAAACTGAAGTGAATTCTGATTAAAATATTTCTTCAGGTTCTTGAAGAGAGCTCTTATTTCAGCTTTTTGAATCTCCCTTATTTCTATCACAAAATGTATACAGCAACTGAAATATCACAATAGTTAGCTTGAACTGTTGGTTAATGTGTACCAACAGGCAAACATCAGGATCATTGATGTTATTTTCTCTAGAATAGACCAAGTTTTATTACACTTTTGCAATAAGTTGAAATTGGTGTGGATGCTTTCTAAAAGTTGACTATTTCTATTTATATTCTAAACAATTTTTCTACTGAGTAGGAACTTCTCTTATCAGAACTACCGAGAAATTTTCAACAATAACAGAAGATACCTCTTTCAGCAATACTAAATACAAACATGCACACCACATACAATGCCCTGACTTTCCTTCATTAAAACCTGCAGAGGATACAATAACGCTGCCTTCTGTGGTCCAACAGGGCAGAATTCACCATCAGCCGGTCGGTGGGTTTCATTGGTGATTTTAGTATCCCAGATGTCTTGTTCCGGCTCTGCATTGAAACCATTTTCTACAATTTCAGTTTTAACTTCTTTATTGTTGAATTCAATATCAATATAACAGATTACAGATTCTAGATTCACATCTATTCTTTGAAGATAGGCGTCACTCATGCTGTAGAGGAAAATTCCAGACATTTAATACTTCTAATTATAAGCTTTAAAATCAGCAAGGCCATCAACTCAACAGTTGTACAAAGTATGAACTCTGAGGCTTACTATAAAAGTAAAAACACATACTAAAACATAGAGGCTTGCAGAATGAATAAAGGCCATGAGAGAACAGTTAATATTTTGTAATAATTAACCTTGAAGAATATACATACTGCTCTTTTATTCCAACAATGTAAGTTACAGTATTATTACACATTCTGTCGTGGCCTGATTTAAAGGTTATAGCCCATTCAAGACTGTTGTATTCTGACACAAGTGGGATGCTTCCACCCGTAAGACAGTTAGGATTTTCCTAATATTTAGTAATAAAGTATTTGACAATTCTAAGGTATGAAATTAACAAGGTTTGATGTTTCTAATAAAAAAAAATAATCCTTTTTGCTCTGGAAGCCTAGAGGTACAATTACAACAGTCTCTTCTTTTGGTTACAGTGCTTACCTAAAGCTTCATCCTTTTTGGGACATGAAAACTACTTTTGTCGTGAACTTACAAGAGCTGATGGTTTTTTGTGGGCTTCTTACCCCAGGTAAGTTCCCAGTTAAGTCTGCTGCCCAGTAAACAGATAGCTGTGACAACACACGTAGAAGGATGTGAGTGCCATTCAAGCCAGCAGTGTTACCAAAAGGCATGTACATTTAACTACCATTCTTGTAGTTTTTAGAATCAACATACACAAAACACATCTTGTACAAAGTTTGTCAGCCTGCAAGAGGGCAACACGCTGTGCTCAGAATCAAGTATTTCATGCACAGTGTTAATTGCTCGTCTACAAAGTTAAAGCCATTCTTGGCAACACCCAGCTTTTTGTTAAGTGGCTTGATTTGGTGAAGAAGTTAAAAAAAAAAAAGAGTGATTCCAATTTACCTTAAAAATACTTTCAAGCAAGCACAAGTAATTTCTTCAGGAATATCTGGAAACCGTTGTAAGCAGACTTGTAAGAGATGCACGTCTTTTTTTTCCAAAGCAACAGCCATTAAATCTGGACATAAACTGTAACAATAGGAAAAGAATAGGCTGCATAGTTCACACCCACTGAAAACTACATTGACAGCTAATGCAGAAGTATTAATCTTGTTTTACACAAAAATCCATGTTGGAAGTGTCAGCTTCATCAGAAAATAAGCATAAGCACCTTTGATAGTAAATTCAGATAATTCAAGAGTGCTTTATAAAGAATTGGATTTCCACTTTTTTTTAAGACTATTCCTTACAATTAAAAAATGCAGAATCATCACCTGTAAGACAAGTCTCGGGTTTGGACTATCTGTAGCAGGAAATTTCGAGGGTAGTACTTCGGATTTGTTTTACATCTGTTTATAAGAGCAGTTATTACACATCCAATGGTGGCTTGGAAATCTGGCATCTGTGCTTTTGACATCAATTGTCTCAATTCATCTTCAAATGCAGTTGTAGAAGCATCCTGAAAATGACAAATATTGTGCAACTCAGTACGGCTGAGAACTGTGCTGTTACTAATTAGGAGAAGTAGAAAGAGACTTGTTTTGGAATTCAAGATAAAAAAAATGACAGAAACCCTCACCACTCTGTGTTTTGGTAGTCTCTCTCATCACGAAAGAGTCAAATGAGGGTAATTACTCACTCTGAACTCAGGTAAGCAGCATCTTTCAATAATTGCTCAAAGATTATGCGCCTGTTACTTTACATTGGTAACATTCCCAAGGCGTCAGCCTCAGCTGAACTATAGGTACCTTCACACAGGAAGGGATGCAACTTGAACTATCACAACACCTGCAGCAATTTTAGAAAGGAACTAAACAGCTTATTGCTGTATTTGCAGTGGAATTCCTAGCATTCTGACTTTCTAGACTGAAAACATCTTCAACAAAACTAAAGTCGTAAATAAGAATCTAAAAAAAGCTTAAAAAAGCAGAGTTCAGGTGAAGTATCCTACCACCTTACTTATTATAACAGATTTTCGTTAAAAATGAACAAATTTGTACAAGTTTTCAGAACTCAGAGAGCTATTATAAGCCCTGTATTGTACAGTTCTAGAACACGCTCTGCAAAACTTTAATTTCATCATGTCTGAATGCTTTTCTAGCACAATAATAATAACATCTTCCAACTCATCTGTTTAAGGCAGCTTTGTCAACTTGATAAGTGCAAGAGGACATGGAAAAAGAGAATAGCTTAAGAGACAACTAGAATATTCTGAGAGCATCTAAAACACTACTTTAGGATACTTGGTTTACTCACCTTTAGATTTAGTAAGAGCTGCCCAACTGATAAGGTATCTGGCTGCACTTTAGCAGCAGTGTTCCTTTTCGATCTTAACTGTTATAAAGAAAAACAAAAAGTTATTATTCAGCTCCAAAAAGATGGTATATGTATATATTTAAGGATTTCAATCAAGATAACTAGGAACTTCATGTGTCAACTTACTGCACAGATTACAATTAGTACCTGGGCAGTCCAATTCCAGAAACTGTTAAAAACAGTGAGTGACAAACACAAACTGAAATTTCCTTCTACAACAACACCTAAAAGTAGAAGTAGCAGCACGGCAAAGAGAGAAGACAAACAAAACAAACACCTCCCATGCTCCTAATGCTAACTTACAGTCATTCCGGACTCAGACTTCAGAGCTACAGACTGCTGTGATTGGAAGGAAACCACCAGCTCTTCATCTTCAAGGGTATTCCAGTTTACAAACGAAGACACATCTGCCAACACAAAAATGAAACTATATGAAGGTAACAGTTAAAGCATGGTCATTGAAGTATGAATATGACATCAGTTTCTTACACTAATAATACTAATTTTCTAAAGTATAATCCAAGTCCCTTTCTGCCAAGAAAATGCCCAGTTTTATCTCCACAGCAGGTAATTTTATGACCTTTTTTGCATACTGTTCCTCCATTTAGCCTCTGGGAGGAAGAGAAATAAGTTATTACACAATTTATTGTGAGCATTACTTGCAGCAACATTTTACCAGTGTGATGCCAAATGAAAGACACTACGACAGCACAATTTTAAACCAAAGTTTACAAACTAAGGTTTGACATTGCCCCATCTAATCACAAACTCTTCGAAAATAATTTATAGGAGACAGCAGTATATATAGTTATCATGCCAGTATTTTCAGTAATTCCAGTATTTGACGACTCAGGTTAAATGAAGCCACAATAAATTCAGACACTCGTGTGCTTCGGTGTTCTCAGTAACAGTAAATTCAGCAGCTAGGAACAGAATACAGTTCTAGGTTACTTCAAGCTGTTTAGATCTGACTGACTTTATAGTCCTGTATTAAAGTAATTTTTATACAATTTCAGAAGTTTTTCCTTTTACAGGATCTTTTCACTGAAATTATAAAAATTCTTACCAGGGGTTTGACTGTCCTTGAGCTTTCCCACAGCGGCTGCCAAGGATGATGTTTCACACTTGTACATAATTACTGTTAGCACTTTCCCATGAGTCAAAAAAAATTTCTCCTCGTAACACCACAACTACAAAATATTAAAACATATTGTTAATGAAGCGATGAGCAGAGAAGCGTGCTCCTGCACAAGCTGATGTTTAACTCCTTACTACAAAATTCAACTAAAAGTCAGCAAGTGGATTATTTTAGATTTCTTTCGGTAGGTTTAACGCTTGTTATCAGACCTTCATTAACTGCTGATCTTAACTACGGAAACAAGAAGCATTCTGTTGAGTATTTTCCAGGGACTTCGTAAAGTACAGCAGCTGCTCCGCAGCATTAAGTCCACTTGATAATTTCATTTTTCAAATTCCCTCTTGCAAAATTTTAAGACAAAAAAGCATCAGCTGTTCTATTTCACTAGTGCATTTATTACTTAAGTGTCAGTTTACTTGTCTTTAATTGACACCTGAACATCTCGAAACACTATTTAGGGAGATGCTGGGATTATTTAGCCTGTCAACTGCAAGTGATCTGAACAGAACAGATACTGGCTGGGTTTTCTGTTTAATTAGCCATTTAATTCTCAACAAATAATCAAGACAGTGACAAGGTACTGAATTATTAAAGAAATTGGCATAGGCCATCATTCTCTTGATAAATATTCTGGCAAAAATAGCTCATCAACTGGTCAATATTAATTTCGTTTCAGAAATTGGCATTCACTGCTCTTCCAGACAGAAGCAGAACTCTGAAGCCCACCAGTCTCTTCCCTACTATCATGTCAAACACACAAAGCTTAAGAATCACAAATTAAAAATTGAGCTTACTTGTCCACTGGTTCCCAGAGGCAGCTCCTTTGAGATCTGCAATGTCTGAAATTTTGTATTCCATATTGTCAGGCACTCTAGGGCAAATGAGGGAGAGATGTTACAAACCCAAAAAGCAACATAAATGCTACATTTCCCTTTGCTACTTTCAGTTACAAACACTTCAGGAAATAGAAATAACTGTTTCAAAATAGCTCAGTCAGTAATTTATTCAACCTTAGGAATTAATTCTGGTTAAATCTCAAGAAAAGTATTTAAAGATGAGTTAGTTTTCCAGTGAGGAGCTTCAAACAAGAAGCTGTGGTACGTGTGACTTCCAGTCAGCAAGAGCATTTTGTTATAAAATGCTATGTTCAGTGGCTTCAATCTCAGTGGTCCCACACTTCAGAAGTTTAGGCATGAGAGTGAAGTGGTTTTTTTTCAATGTGTTGCACCTTCTCACCTCTTTCCCCAACAGCCTGAAAGGAAATACTGACTACAACAGTGAGTACGGTCCTGCAACCTGCTACGCAGTTGACTGCTAACGATGACCTTTTGGCTAGCACTCTGAACGGCACAGCCCAACTATGCACTAGTTTTAAGAGCCAGCTAACATTTTATTTGCGCTATTTCCTGCTTAGCACTTTGCCTAAGGAAGTTTTAGACCTTATGACACCTTAATCTGACTTTTCCAGTTACCTTTGGATTCTTCACCAGATGCAGCTAGACTTCCTAATACTGCGACGTGGTCTTTATCAAGCACAACAAAAGAAGTTCCTTTTAGAACACTTCCAGACACTGAAAGGTTTAGTAATAGTGACTTAGACAAAATTTGCTCTTCCTCTTCAGTATTTTGCTGCAGAGGTATCAGAACCTTGTACACAGAGTCATTGGAATCTGTCAAAAAAAAAGTGATTACACTTTTGTAATATGTTACTGTGGAAAAACTATTTGATACAATATGGCAAAAGGACATCCAAAGAAAACAAAATCCAGTGAATGCTGACAGAAGAAATTATGCAGGATATTTAAAGGACGTTATGATGCAAAGCAGCAAAATACTAGTACAGCTAGCACAAAGTCTGCACGGTGCAAGTCGTAACATGTAGGAACAGTCAGCCTTCGCATTTTTTTAAATATCAGAAAGGTTTAATTACTACTTCTACCACTAGCTGTTTAGAAAGTTTAAAAAGCTAAAAATATTAGGCAGCAATTCATAAATACCAACATTTTAATGTCCTTCCATACAATTATTTGCTTTATTATCACATCCCGTTAGAAAATACAACTTACACAAACACAGAAGTGTGATAATTTGGTTTTTCATATATGCTGTGAAAATCAGTGGCTTAGATAATTCCTGTTGTTCAAGCTTGTATTTGTGTAGACTATTCATCTTAAGTTTCTGTACGTAGACAAAAAAATTCCCATCCTAAAAAAAAAAGAGAAAATAAAGTTTTCCTTTAATTTACACAAAGAAGAGATAACAGAAATTCAGATAATATATAATACTATATATATAATACTATTATATATAAAATACTATATATATAATACTGCTTAACTTTAAAAGTTGGGCAAAATCAGGAATGCTTGTCTTCTATAGGACAAACAGCCTAATTCAGAAAAGTTCGCAGACTCAAGCACATACAGAAAATTGTAATTTGTTGCAACAAATGGGTTCACAGAAAGAAGCATCTGAATGAAAACAGATTCACATATAACTATTTTTTTAAAAACATAAATTCTATTAAACACATTCTTCACAATGAGTAAGTACTTGAAGGCAATGAAGAGTCACACGATGTCTACTATATTTAATCTTAGTTGTTCTCTGAAGTTCTAAGAGCCAGGCTCTTTGTCCCTGAAAGCAACACAACTTCAATCGAATTGTTGTATCAGGATATCACTTAAATCGGGACAATGATTTCACTAAAAGCTCTTAAAATCCAATGAAACAGGTGATGGATTTTGGAAAAAGCACAGATGTGCTGCTATGAAAGTTTAAAAAAAAAAAAGTAGCCAACTCACTTTCTCAGTAGTGAAAATTAAGACAGGTTGTTGACCTTCCATAAAGGCTTCACTCCACCTAAAACCAGAAAGCTGTGTGAACATCTAAACTGTACGACTATACCTAAGGTCATACCACTATTCCTTAGGCAGCCTCTTAACTTGGTTGGAAGCAAACACCCAACCCCAAGATCTTGGTCTTCAGATTTCTCCCATCCCCTCAAAAAAGGCAACAACTTTCCTCGTTATCATCAATTCCTCTGAGCAAGAAGAAAGCTTCATAAAGTTGTACCACTTACTTGATGACTTCATCTGAGATAATGTTTTCAATTTCTTGTTGCGGGGCTTCCAAAAGGACATCTAAAGTCCGAACACCACCTCCTTTGAACAGTACCACTGGCCCTCCATTGGGCAGAGAATGTATTCTGTACACATCAGCTGAAAGCTACACAGAAAAAACATAAATGCTATGTGCTTTACCTTCAAAGCCAAGTGTTTTATCCATGATTAAAGTTCTTTCAATAAATGAGTAGCAGAATGATGAATCCGTAAGATTCCTAATAGTGTACATCAAATAGTCATCCATTTGCTGAAATGCTATAAATAATGGAAATCACTACCCAGCAAAGAGCCAGGAAAGCGTCCCAATGAGCATCACATCTCTGAATCGCATCAGAAAAAACATAACTGAGGGTAATGAGTTCAAACAACGGCAACACAGCAAAACACAAAGTGTTGTTTAACACACCCACTAGCAGAACAGAAAAGTCTATTTTAACATAACTCATCGCCTTTAAAGAAAGTCCCCTGAAACTCTGGGCACAGGATATGAATCATTTTAAGAGTAATACTTTGATGATCGAGTCTCCCAATCCAAGTGGATTCCTTGCAATACTCCAGAACATCATGAAGCAAAACTTAAAGACTATGGTCAGCCAAAACGTAGTATTACCAGTACTGTGAAAATCAGCATCTCTTCCCTCCACCAGGATTCAAACCATTAACAGAAAAGCAAACAGGTGCAAGAGACTTACCGTTGCTTTAAATACTTTGTCCAAGTTAATATCTTTGTTCTTCCATATTCTTAAAACCTTTAAGAGAAGCATCATTTTTTAAGCACAGTTAAAAAGGTAACATACAGACTTCTCAGCACACAAAACACTAGCGATTGCGTGTCACTGAAACACGGGAGGAAAAGATACAGAAAGTTTTCAGAGTAACCTTAGTGGAGACTGACTGGGGGAAGTTTGCA